TATATATATATATATATATATATATATAGGGTTGGGGTGGTTTAATGTTTGTTGTTTCAGAACTGTGTTCACGGTTTGCATATCATTTCCAATAAAACGTGTTCTGCACTATGGAACTATGGCTGCACTATAAGAGTGATGGTCAAATCACACTAATTGATTAGACAAGAACTGTTCTGTGTTTCAGGCAAAGATGATGGGTGACATGCAAACCTCTTCCTTCTTCCTCCAAATCTCAGTGCCATTATCAAGTACGTCCATGGACTAATACTACAAAGACAACATTTGATTAAACTATCACTCACACTTGCCAAAATATTATCATCTGCATGCATCAGAAGCAATCTAAATGTTAATACAAATAATATTTTGAACTTGGAGTTATCTAGCAATTATTGTTCCTAGATTGGAAGCTAGAGCTGATGTTAGTAGGGGAGAGGCACCTAACCTTTTATTATTATTATGTACAATAAATTCATCTAGGTCTCTCTCAATTTTATTGAGATTCTTTTTTAAAAATAATTTACTAAAACTGGATACGTCTATCCATGCAACAGTTTGAGAAATTTGTGCATAAACTTGGATATACTTCTAGGTACTCTGAATTTTGAATGATTTGATTGAACAAAATGTTGATCAGCTGGACTGATCTAAGTGGCAGATGTTGCTACTTTTTTAACACTAAAATCTCCAGAATTTTGTTCATAGATGAATGAGACTTCTATGAACAATTACTTTAATTTTGAGAACCTTTAATTAAACTATGTGCAAATATTTTTGATTTTCATGTATTCTGTATACGATTAATTTAAATGCTTTAATACATGTACCAAATATATGCTGTTTCAGCATAAAAAAATAAAAAACAACTGAAAATACAAAGATATGGTTAAAGAAACTGGAAGGGAACTATGAAGGTCATATGGCCAAAACATTGAACATGTATTTCTTTCTCATACATCAGTTTTAACCACTGCTAAAATGTACTGTGTTACAATGGCTTGAATTGATTGTAATGGTTTAAATATATTTTACAATAACTTGATATTTAAAACCAACTTTAAAACTGTAAATATTTGGAGTGAAGTAACACATTACCAGGTGTAAAATACATAGCCATAGGCCTAATGGTACCAGTGTTTTTAATTTTACTTATTTACAAAATTTCTGCAGAAAGTTATTGTATTTTATATTGAAAACGTAGGATTCTACAAATGCAGATTCAATGCACATTATTAATCCTCTGTTAACAATTCCAGGTTGAACTCAAATTTACATTAAAAACCATAAGAACATAATGATGAGCCTACAGAATTAGAACATTTTCAGCAGTTTTTATTTTAATTTCAGTGTACTCTCTATCTCTGCAAGTAAATCACTAATTTTGAGTTAAAGCTAAATCTTGGATTAAAATCAGTGTGAAGAAAACTATTCAGCAGTACTCATCTCTACACTTCAGTTAATCTGTGCCGCAAAAAATAAAATTATATTTGGCTAATAGTATTTAGTGATCCAGAATAATTTACAATTAAAACAAAAACTTTTCATGTCCTCAACAGGCTAAAACAGCATCAAAACATGAAAAAAAGAAAAAATTATCATCTTTCACTTTATTTATAAGAATTCAACACATGACATGAATTTCTCTACATAATTATGATAATGCTGACAATTCCTTACTTTGTTACTTTGGAAGCCTACATTTACATAAGCAACCAAGCCAAACAATAATATAAATCATAAACATTACTCTAGTAGGTGCTTGATGTTAAAAGATAATTAATTTTGTGCTTCTATTACAGTTATGTTTACCAAAAATTATTACTTCTTAAAAAAGTAGAGATATAGTGTGAAGTTACTGCAAGTAATTCTAACTAAAGTACTTAAGGTTAGACTTCCACTTGTTTAGTCAAAATTAATAAATTAATCTTCAGTCAACATATGTTCTTCCCAAGAGTAATGGACAAAAAAAAATCCTAAAACAAAGGTTATATTGCTTAGTCACAAAAAAAACTACTTCAAACTATTCAATGTCTGTGCAGAAACTGTTACACCTCAAAAACTATACAAACAATTGTAACTGAATTATCTCACACAGAAAAATATGGTTAAACTCAATTCTTTAAGGTAGCATTTAGCCTTTATATTTCATACAAAAGAATTCAAGCAACTAATAACTTTGTAGCTATTTAAACCTTACTAAGTAATTTTCTGAGATAAATGAAATAATTGATTTTTTAAACATATGATAAAAAAGGGAATGGGATTAGGATAATTTATTATCTTTAGGTCAAAGGCCAAAATGAAGTTTTCTCAATTGAAATATTTATGCCTAAATCTGCTGATGAAAGTTTTTGGAGCTATAAGGAAATAATTTGAAATGACACTGAATGATAGGTTGCATATAGCCAAAGGGAAACAAGTAAAAACAATGGAAGAATGAGAGGACAGTGCAAATAAAAATACACAGAAACTCCAAAAGACTGACACTGATGTCAATAATAAAAATTATTCTTAAAATAAAAAAATATGGCCTTTTAAGTGTTATTCCTCCAATGTTTATTAATGCACACATTCTTCAACTCAATACGAATAAGGAGAATTTATAACTACAAAACAACAGCATATATACTGATCATACAATGTAAAGTTTGTTGTAATTAGTACATATCAGCTTTTCACTGAAAGTTGATGATCTCAAAACTGCAAAGTATAGGACAGAACTGAATCAAACTACACAAATTTCTTCCCAGTATACACAAATTTTTAAGGCCATTTTAATTTAACCACCAGCTGCATAAACCTTTTCTAAAAAAATGCAATTTCTGGAAGAATCACAACAGAATGCCATAAGATCAGGTTCTAATGTTGTACTCAAGAGTGACTGTTTCTTATGGTAAAATCATGATTGTAACAGATTAACCATATTTACTTATAAACACACTTTGTACTACTATTTTCTTGAAATATATAAATCTCCCCTAAAAAAAAACTAGTATCTCAAAATAAAAAAAGCATATTACAAAAATGTTTTATACATAAAGCTTCTTTTTTCATACAGAGCATTTAAGAAACTAAAGAACTGAATAAAATAGCTGCAAAACTATTTTCTTCAATAAGTAATATACATTTTCAAACTTTTCCCAAGATTGAAACTGTTTTGAATGTAAATTGCAAATGCTGTTTTAATCTGCTAACACCTAAAGAAGTGAAATGTTAAAAATAAGAGAAAAAAAGAAACTTCAAAGAAAAAGCTATAACATTTAAATGAATTATGATGATGCAGCATGATTGTATCTACAATTTTTATGCTGATTAAACAATTATTTCAAACTTCTCTTAAATGCTTTAAAAACATACATACTCACCAAAATCAAATCCAAGGAAATCTTGGATGTGTCTAAAATTGTTAAAACATTATAATTGATGAATTACAAATACACTTATGATATGCAGTTGTACAACCTACCAACAATAAACATTCTTTATTTTACATATGTATCCTACATCTAGGAAGGTTTAGAACAGAACAATGTTTTCTTGTATAAAGCTTTTGTTTTGATTCTAAAGCTTTTAAAACTTTTAACATCCATACACTCACATTTGTTTATAAAACAGCAAACTTGACCTACATAGTCATTCAAGAGGAAAACAACGTTAAGGTTTAACTGCACAGTATCATTTCTTGCTGTTTTTCTTGGTCAATTGACCTCTGTGAGGTGTTATTGGGCGATTTGAAGCCATCTTCCCATATGGAAAATTTTTCTTGTCTGCTGGTTTCAGAATCTGTAAAGTTAATTTTTTTTATATTCCTTTTGTCCAATTGAAAGCTACTTGTAATCACATTCTTACAAATACTACACATAATTAAAAAATAATAAATGACTTTCATGTTCTTAAACTCTTGATACAATAATTAGATTACACATATAAAAAAACAACTCCCCACACATTTTGAATGGTACAGCATAGAAATATGATAGCCATAAACTTAGGTTCTTATAACTAAATATTAAATACCAAATAACATAATACATGTATAAAACTGTATTTCGCTTTGGGATTAGAGTACTTTTACTAGGTAAAGTAACTAAATGTGTCTGTGCATGTATGACTAAACTTGATTCTCAATGATTGAGCATAAACACAAAACATTCTGTGATAGAAAAGCTTTCAATTCTTAAATACTCCATTTGATTTCTTAAAAAAATATTGCATTTTCCTTTAACTAGTGATGAATAAATACAAAATGTGCAGTCAATCCAATCCCTTGGGTCAGAGCATTTATACAATACGATTGTCTAGAGGGCCATTACAACTGTCTTTTGTCATTCCATTAATTATTTCAATAAAGTAAATTGCATTGCAAAAATGCTTGGGTTTTGATGCAATGGGAACATCCAGAACAATAAAGTGTTCTGATTCACTAAGTAGCCCAGGGATCTTTTTTCTAATGGATGCCAATGTTCCTTATCATTTTACTGAGTGCAAGAAAAGTCTGCTACCGAAGTGATCGCTTTTTGAGAGTTGTCATTTCTATAAGAAATGTCAAAGAGGAGATATTCAATTCAAATCAATTAATCTTACATTGTATAATAAAGTCAGGCACGTAAATAATACTGATATAGGGAGGGGGAATATATATATATATAAACCAAACAACAACAAATATATATGTTGAAACATGTCTTTCTCTTTATGCATTTTTTCATTCATGCTCTTATCTTAAAAATATTTCTTTTAATCAGTCAATGGAGGAAATCCCACTTTTTTTTCATGAAACTACCTCACAAAAGAAACATTTTTGTTCTTAATAAGTTTCTTTATTCTCAGACTGATTGTTCAGCACATATGAAGACTGAGGGATCGATGTTGATATTGATATGAAATTTTAGGAATTGCAAAAATTAATAACTTTCTTGTAAAGTACTCTTGAAAATAAGCATTTTTATATATAATTTTTTTTCTACAAGTAACTGTTTACGAGATACAGTATGACAGACAGACGTTGGGCTATTATATATATATATATATATATATAGATAGATCAAGTTCTTAAATTAATAAATAGTATAGCTGTCATATCAATGGCAAAAAACCTGACTTAGCAACAGGGTTCATAAACTTATCAAAACTAAAAATTCAAGGACTTTTCCAAATGTTTTTCAGGGCCAACAGACTAACCATGAAATCCTAAAAACAAGAGTATACTGATACATTTTTTCATTGATGCAAAACCTAATAATTTCAGATGGGTCAATACCATGAAAAATAATGAAACAGTGGATTGTACAAAAACTGATTAGACACCACATAATGCAAAAGATACTGTTTAATTAATGTATGTATGCACCTAGCTGTTTGCTCTTTATTTCAGTGCTTGTTCTAATACTAAGCAATGAGTGTAACAATATTTTTATAACAATGTCATCAATCAGACTTGCAGTTATCAAGATCAATCAAACTCACAAGTTTGCTTTTTCCAAGTTACAAAAGAATAGCTGTGGCTATTCATCCAGCTAGCTGAACAAATAGTCTGAGAAATGTTTGTTCAGCTATCACAATGCACGTGCACAGACTTGTCTTGAGCTCAGGGTACCCAAAGTAACCTAGGAGTTCTGTGACAGCAAACTATTCAGATGACAGAAAAGTTTGTTTATTCGTGTGTATTAATAAATTTATTATTACTCAAACATCACATAAATAAGAAAGAAAGAAAACTGGAATTTTTTAATATTATTAATCAGAAAGTTTCATTTTATATATGTCCAACTAGTTTTAATGTCATTAACTATATATATTTGTTACTTATCTTTACCTATTGAAGCAGTTATGTAGCCACTAAAAGTGTAAAACACCAATAACAGTAAGACCACAACTCACACTCTTATCCTAGGCTTACACTGATATAGGCGATATCATTCTAATTTTAACATCTTCTTTACCTGAAAATGTATTTCCAACAGATACTCATAAGATTAATACAAGATATGGTAAATAAAATACAAGGTCTTTTAAGAACTTTTCAAGGGCCAAAATGTGCTTTTTTTTAATCAAATAAAGTTTATTTCCATGTACTGAAAGCCATAAAAAATATCATTTAGCATTATGTAATATGTAAAAGTTTTTGGCTATTTTCTTTGATCCTTTTTTGTCACACCTTAAGATAGAATCAAACGTCATAGAATTTTGTATTTTATTTTTAGTTTAAAACTTCAGATTCAGGATGTGCAAAATTTACCTTAAAAAAGAGAGTAAAGACAAAACATTTACTCAGACTGGCAGTATAACTGAAGTATTTGCTCATATCCAAAGTTTGGACAGTTCAAAATGTTCAAACAGAAAAATAATCTGTGTCAATGACAACTGAAAAAAAACAAAAAAACTTCAGGAAATTTTCTGAAACAGTTCAATTTGATTTTTTTCCTATCTTGTTAATTTCCTTTAGAGATTTCCTGAAACAGTTATTTTGTTCATCACACATCCTCTAAATAAGCTTTCTTTTCTTTCACAGATTTCATGGAACAGTTCAATCTAGCTTCTTGTTTCTGTATCTTACAGATCACATCCTAACTGAGCTTATTTTCTTTTAGTTATATCCTGAAACTATTTAATTTGATTCTTGTTTTTTGTATCTTACTTATCACATATTCTCTAACTCAGATTTTTTCTTTCAGGGGTTTCCAGAAACAGTTTAGTTTTTTGTTGTTGTTTTTTATCTTACTAATCACATCTCCTAGCTCAGAATTCTTTTCTTTCAGAGATTTTCTGAAACAGTTAAATTGAAGGGTCCAGTTTTGAGGTTTTGAAGATTTCTGTTTCTTCTGCAGCTTTCTCTATTTTATCCTGCAGATGCTTAATGTCTTTCTCCAGCATTCTCTTCTTCTCATTCAGGTCCATTATTTCTTGTTCATGTGGTCTTTTCTTTGCTTGTTTTTTTGCACCCTTGTTGGGTGATTATGTATTGCTCATATTTTCACCTAGCAGAATTGCAATACAGAATCATGTTTAGGGTAACCTATATGTTTTATATTCATCCAGCTTTTGTGATTGCATCCTGGATTAGCTTCTGAAAGATGTCTGTGACCTCCTTCTTGTTAACCACAGTGAGATTTGAATTTACAGAAAAACATCTTTCAACAATAGCCTGTCCATGTGAAAGTACCAGCAGCAGTTTGATAATGGACCACAGTTCTAGATACTGTTCTTTTCCTTCCAGCTGTTTAGCAAGAAAAGGTTTCAAGTGCTACTTTCTCGCTGGGATGACTGTCATAATTAAAGAAGTGGCTATGCTGGCTGGTGCCTTCATCTTGAAAAAAATTGCCTATTTAGGTCATCATAATTTTGTTCAGGGAATTGCTTTAACCCAACAAAGTATGGTAGCATTCATTTTAATTTCTTATCACACTCTTCTGGATTCTTTGTCATTTTAGGTGAATTGAGGCAAGAACCATGTCACTCAAAATTTACTTCAATGAGAATCTTTTCATTAATTTCTTCAGCAGATGAACAATGCACTTTCTTGCCTCCATTTGAAATTTAAAAATTTCTCTGTTGCTGACTTTTTTGGAAAACGATAGACATTTCACAAGTTTGTCGGCTGAAAAGCCAAAATACATTTTAGAAAAACTAAATAAATCCTCATCTTTTACTTCATACTTTGCAACTTAGCATGCCAGAAAGTGGTTTGATAACTTCAAGTTCATCACATCTTTATCATGTTTTCCCAGTCAATTGACAAGAATGGTATCATTGGATCACCTCCTTAGTACCTCTCCAAATAGCCGGACACATGATTTGCCACAAAGGTTAAAAAATGTAGCTTTGCAGGAAGGAACAGATTATCTCACACTTTTTTGACTTCATGTTTTCTCAAGCTACAAATCCCTATTTTGACTCCAGGTCTACAGTACTTATCAATTTTACTGGAGTCAAAATAGGAATTTGTAGCTTGAAAAAATAATGTGGACACTATTTCCAGCCCAGTTTGTTACTTTTTTTAGAGCCCCTAGTTGTAAGCTTGAAAATTTAATCCTTCACATTTTGATTCAACTTGTTTCTGTACCTTTTCTCTTTTTTTTGCTGATCCCTATTATCCATTTTAAATTAACAATTTTTAATTATTTAGTTTCATAAGAGTTTTATGTCCACTTAATGAAAAAAAAATTGTAAGCTACATACATGCATATGCATTCAGTTGAATGTTAGATGTTTTTTAACAGTTTATTGCTGCATTGGCTTTTTTTCACCTCACTATTATTTACTGGTTTTGTGCCAGAGGTTTCATGTACGTAGAGTATAAAGGAAGCTGCTCACAACAACATCACATATATTACGTATTTATAGCCATGTAAATCAACTTTTTAAATAGGTCATCAACATTTGCAGCATTTCAGATAGTATATCTGCCTAGGTTTTGGTGCAAAATACCCAGCCAATTTTACTGTATGCTTGTGAAACAAAAATAATAATAATAAAATACACATATGCAATTTCAGCAAAATATGAAAATCAGTAGAATAAATCACCACTCACAAGAGTAGAGAATTCTACAATGGTAATCATCTACTGTTAAAAAACTAGTCACAGAAAACCATGTAGAGACAAAGTACAACACTGAACTCATGAAATAATGAATCCTCATCAAGGCAATTTTCAATTAATGTGCATTTGTAAAACATTGGATTTTTTCAATGGCAGAAAGTGAAGGACTTTAGAGCAATTTTTCAGGACAACAAAAACGAAGGCACTTGAATTGATTTTAAAACTACCTTATAGAATACTCA